AACAACTAGTATGGATGGAAAACATGTTATTTCGTCAACCATCGATACAGGCGGCGAGACAACGGACAACGGAGTGGGGAATCCGCTACGGCGAACGTAGCTGCTTCGGCCGATACCGTCGATGGTCGTATTGGGCTTACAACAGCTTAAAAATAATAGGATATAAAAGAAGCAGGTTTTTTGAAACAGTTGCGGGCATAACGCCTGGCGGTCGAGATAATAGGAGTGGGAAAGGAACGCTGCTGCATCGGTCGATTGTCGATGGAGGCTCGCAACGGGTTAGAGAAGCAGTCATTTTAGATACGTTGTTTTTCAACCTGTGACGAGCATAACAGGGCGGTGGTCGAGATAATCGGAGTGGGAAAGGAACGCTGCTGCATCGGTCGATTGTCGATGGAGGTTCGAAACAGGTTGGAGAATAACGCATCAGTTGTTTTAGATACATATTGTTTTTCAACCTGTTACGAGCATAACGGACGGAGGTCGAGATATTATGGCGCTGTATGTTTCAGTACTTACTTATTAAGTTTCAATATTTAGGTATTTATTCATTCTGAAAATTTTTCAGAATAATATTTTAAGATTTTTTAAAAATGTATACAGGGTGTTTTAAAAAATCTGGTCATTGATTAATCACGATCCTGCTTAAAGCACTTGACGTAAAAAGCTGATTTTTGGAAAACGGATTGACTTTAGGGTGTAGAGGTTCGATAAGAAGGGATTTTTCGAAACTCGAATTCTAAGGGGGTGAAACTAAAAGAAAATTGACAGTACACAACCCTAGTCATCTCACTATTGTTTTTCTGAAATTAGTTAGTTATCTATAAAGAAATTCTATGTTCTGGGTCATGGTACTTGGAAAAGTTGCAGTGCGGTGAAATGTTTAGTTAGGGAAGCAATTTTTAGAAACTTAATACCTATTTGTAATGTAATTCGATTCTTCGATCGCTTTTTGCAAATTCGTCAATTACGTCATCATAAAAACGTGGATGGTCCGACTTTTTTGGGAAAGCTTATTTTCTATGGACAACAGCAATACTTGCGGAAGTTTATCCTGACCCGCTGAATTTCTCACGAAATTTTTTATACATTTAAGTGTTGAAAAATTGCGGTTTACTAATAAACTTGTGGCAGATATTGTCAATACTAATTTACACAATTTCGACACTTCGGTGTAGGCATCTTATAGTTTCTTGTCTTTTAAAAATTGCATTAGTTCTCTAGCGTTATTTTTTGTACTAATGTCATCAGTTTCGTAAATCACTTTTAATTCAGATCGCAGTAACACTTGGTCGAAGAACTGGCCATAATGAAGAAGAAGATATTTAAACGCATCTTCTGGAAAATGTTTTCCTTTATTTGCATCAAAATTACAGAGCTCGAGGAATTTAAAATCATTTAAACCGTTAAATCTGGTTTATTTGTTGCTTAATATCTGTCCGAGGAAACAAACGACATCGATAAGTCTTTTTAATATTTACCTATTTTTATCGATTAGTTATTGTGTTGGCGGTGACAAATTTCCAACTGATTATTAAGGTTGTTTTCAATTCTGGTGTTGCCAAAGACTTTTTCTTTTATGACGGCCTGCAAATGTGCTTTGGAGATTTTGTATCTTTTTACAGCTTTATGGAAACTATTTAAATCGGAAAAACCAGTTTTGTTCTAGAGACCGTTTTCATTTTCAAATAATAAACATGGCCAACCAATTAACTTACTTATATTTTCACACCCTGTTAACACTAAGTTAGGGGAAGCACTGCTTCCCTTGCTTCCATGGACTGCACGCCGCTGATCAATGGGATAAATGAACTATGTCACAATAGGCGTAGAAATAACATTTTAACTCAATCTTTGTTACGCCTGAAGTACGTAATCATGGCCGGAACATCAATTTTTAAAGTTGAACTTCTTTAAGTGCGATGGGTGTAAAAATTCAAGGCCGCGACACACGAACTAATTTACCGCCACCCGTCACAAACGTAATAACGTTCGAAATAGTGGTAATCCCATAGATTTTTGGGTAATCCAATGAGTAAGTTAAGATGGGTTTTTGGAGCGTCGTAACTTGGACCTTATGTGAGCTACGGGACTGAAACTCGGAATGTTTTCATGATATTCTGATGACGTTTCGTGCACTACGAAACCCCATCATCAATGGCGAAAAAATCGTCCGATTTAAATGAAATTTGGTATGTCGATAGACCGGACCAAGGCCAACTTGACCGTGTACCACACGTGTCACTGCGACAGTTAGTTTTTACATAAGGAGTGTCATAAGTTGATGTCATCCGATTGCGACCAAATTGAACGACCAATCTGGATACGACCGCGACGTTTCGTTTACATCTTCATCAGCGTGGGACTAAGGATTTGAAATAATGTGGGTCGATTTCGGCATAATTGGGAACAGGCTACTGGATGACGCACTTGGCGTTTCGAACCGATGGCTCTAAATGGACGAAATCATAAGGATTTATCTTAATTATGGGTCGATTGGAACCAAACTCGGCACGTGGATAGAGGTATCCGAATGAAGTCCTCAGACGGACAGGCGGACTCATTATACTGCATTATGTAATTAATTACTATACATTATACTAGTGGCGGCTTAACCATAAAGTCAAATATTCAATGCCCCCCCCCCAAAAATCAGAAGAAAATTAGAAAAAAACTATTTAAATTATACTTTTTGTAAATCACAATTTTTCATCCTAAGAAATCTATCCTACTAAACCATCCTATTCAAAACTATTCCCAAAAATCTTCAATTTGTCCAATTTTCGCTTGAAAATGTTTTATTTTAGCCATTTTCTCTAATGCCGGTCAAAATTTCATTTTGTCCTTCGTTCCCGCTGTGTTTTGCACGTATTTAATTCCAAATGCCGCGGCTCGTGACGCCAACGAGGTAAGGTATACTACGTATAGAAAATATAATGGATTAAAGTGCGATAGATATAGTTTATATTGGCCATTGACCGCGTCATTCATAACAGGATTTCAATCATATCGCTGGAAAAAAATCGCCGTTTGGGCAGTTTGGGTGTTTTATAAGAACTCAAATTATAAAAAAACCTCTAGGTTTTTGTGTCGTTTATCGCATATAATGTATGGTTTAGTCAATATAAAGGAATATTTAAATTTTTAATATCGAAAGAAATCCTATCTAGTTTTAGTTGTCGTTGTCGAGTATTTGCGGTGTAAAGCGAAATTTGTGTAGGTAATAATTCATAATTTTCTGGTTATGGATAAATGATGAGCTGTGGTTGACTAATTCTGGAATAGATATTTTAAAATAGACAATATGGTGTTTAGTTTCTGAAATCGTGCGGTTCAAAACAATAAAATTGCTTAAATTTCGAAAAACGTTTAGAGAAAGAACGCCGCATTGACTTAAAATTTAAAAATTGTGAAATAAAACTTTTAAAATTGTGTATGTGTATATAGGTATGCATTTATATTTTTGTGACATTATTATTTAAGTGTCTTTTAAATCCTACCGTGGAAAATTTTTGTAAAGAACACTGACTGGATTTTTAGAGAAATAGAACGAACCTGTTTCACAAAAATGTAAGGGTAGGTTTCATTTTAACAGAATGTATATTTAATTTATTTTTCTTTTACTAAACTTACAAATGCCTTGTAAGGAACCAATTAAATTTGGGTGCGTTTTAAAAAAATTCCACGCAATATTTTTAGATATTGACCTCCCTACAATAATAACCACGAGCCGCCACTGCATTATACGAAAGTAGAGATAATTATGTCTTTTCTGAACCGGCCTATAACTTATTTAGAACTTTAAATACCCTTGTGTATGAGCATTAGGCCCCAAATGACAAAAAATCAGTATTTTTTACGTTTTTTATTGTGGAAAATGCTGAAAAAAAAACATTTTATATTATTTTAGTATAATTTTGGTTCTACTGGTTATTTTTTAAAGATAACATAATTTTTAATTCATTAAATTCTGATACCCGTTATTCAAATTTGTCCGTCATAATAGTCAATTTAATCATTCGTGAAAGGGATTTTTAGTAATGACCATAAGGCATACGGAGGCATATCTACATTTCATGACTGCAGTCCTCACATATTGTCTGTTGTAGGTATTCCTTTAGATAATTTCTAGTGATTCTAGTGGAGAATTCGGGTGCATACTGCATATTTTCATATATTTTTTATTCAAATTATATATATATGGATATATGGCAGGGTTGATTTCATATATCAATTACACGTTTCTGAGAAGAACTATATACCTACCTAGTGGCTGATATTAATTTTTTAAGGTCAAATAGAGCCGATACAGGAATAGCACGGGAGTGGTCTGTTTTGGTCGTTCTTGGTTCTCTCTCTTATTTCTCTTCACAAGATAATAAACATGTGAAATTTCAATTATTAATATCAAAATCAAAATTATCTAACTTAAATTAAATTTTTCTAAATCCTTAACTACGCACTTACCATAAAATAATTCTTTTCTTCTACTCGGTAAATAATAAGTTCACGATAAAAAAAACTAATTAAAATCCATTTAAAATCGCAGACTTGTCGCAGACCACAGCCATCTCACAATCACAAATCTGTGATTGGTGCTATGCTAAAATCACAATTTATAAATCGGTTTGCTACATTTGCTGCCATCTGTCGCGGAGTAGCTAAACTAATACCAGCAATATAATATCCCTGAGTTTGTAAATTTCTGAATATGTCTTTTTTAAAGGTTTAATTTTGTTTTTATTGTTTTTTTAGATATTTTAACTAGATTTCATATTGTGTTATTTTGCAATAGTTCAAGAGGCTGTAAAAATTATTTTTAGTAAATGTAAATACCTAGATTTAATAAAAATAAAACATTATATAAAAAGTTTAATAGATGGGGCCATCTTATAACAAATAGTCAAACTAAGTGTGGCTGCAAATAAACAGGGTTCGCTTTGTCAATAAACAGATCTCTGTATTTTATAACAATTTCTTCAAATTGACAGTGACAGCTATGGCGACCCAATTATTCTATAAATGACGTTATTACAATATTTTCGCTAAAGGTGTTTGCAAAATACAAACAATATTATATTAAATAGGGTAATACATGTATTTGCAATGAAATGTCGCTACGTGCAAAAGTATTAGGAGTGGTGGAGGTGTTGCTACGAGTGCCGCCACTTTTCGTAATAGACGAAATTTTAAAAATCGGTTTTGGACTCTCAGAATATTACCAGGACCTTTCGGACTCATCACCTGATTACTCAGAGTCTCTGGATGGAAATTATAAGGTAGATGAGACGTTCTCTAATATAACTACGTTTATATCCTTGGATCCAAAGGTCTCAAAATATATATTTTTGTCTGTGATAAGACTGCTGTTAGCAGCTGTAGGTTAGTATTTTAAATTCAATTTATTAACATATTTTTATGTAAATGTACCGTTGTATTGTGCCTAATCACGCTACACTTTCTTAAGTGATATGACAATATTTTTGAACAATTTAAAAAATAATTTTTGTAATTGCTTGTCATACAACAGTTTACTTACTGTCTTTTCATGATGTAAAACCACAAATTTTGTCTCAATTCAAAACTAATACTTGTTTTTGTTTTAGGATGTATTTCAGCAATGTGTATGTTTGCTTTAAACACAAAGCATCTCATGGTAGTTTACCTGTATTTGACGTCAATAGGAATAGCAATACTTTCATATTTTACCAATTTAAGAACTGTAAAAAATGCACCTGTAGAAGAAAATATACTAGAGGAACCCATCACCCTAATTCAATTTTATAATACTTTTAATTTCAAAGGAATATTGGAGAACAGAGAACTGCTAGAAAATTACATTTTACAAGGAATTCTAGGATTTCTGTTTATGAACATTCATTTAGGACCTAGATATTCCCTTATTCAGAAATTTCTGCCTATTACCTTTTTGGGACCATCATTTTTTGCATCGTTGCCTACACCGAAGGCATATTTGAAGCACATTCCTACAATATCTGCTCTCTTGCCTTTTTCTATAATATTATCTGCCCTGTTGTCATCATTTGGGTCAATTTCAAATGCCCTGTTTATAGGCTATGTTCAAGCAAAAGCTTTTATATCAAATTTTGGTATATCTGCATTAGTCGAAAGAGAGTGGCTTCGACTAAATGTTCCAGAAGTTTTAAGAACGTTTTGGTTATTAAGAACTATAGAACATGCAGGCACATTTTTTTTAGCTGGCTACTGGGGTATAGAAGATGGACATTCACCATATTTCCGACTAATGAAGTACCTGTTGGTTAGTGGATGCGATACCTTAACAGCTGTACTTGGTTTAACCAGTGTTGTTTCCTATATTTGCAATTTCATTGGAAAATTTTTCCAGTGGGTGTTATTAACTGAAGATGAAAATGACAGGAATTTTGGCACTGTTTCTGCAATAGTTTTTTATATATTAGCCCTGCAGACTGGACTGACTGGGCTCGAGATTGAAGTAAGATTTGTTAGACTTTGTAGAAATTTTTGTTTATTATTTACCGCTCTGTTACATTTCACTCACAACATTGTGAATCCTTTATTGATGAGTTTAAGTGCTTCACATAACCCTTCAATACGAAGACATACTCATGCTCTTGCTGTGTGTGCCGGCTTGGTGGGCTTGTCTTTGTCTTTAATGTACCTATTGTGGTCTACACAAGACGTATCAACCTGGTTACTAGCCGTGACAGCTTTCAGCATTGAGGTTATAGTGAAAGTGATGGTCTCTTTAGCAATTTATTCACTATTTTTGTACGATGCTCGAAGAGAGTCGTTTTGGGAGAAGCTGGACGATTATATATATTATATCCGATCTTTCGGAAACACCATCGAATTTTGTTTCGGTATTTTCTTGTTTTTTAATGGTGCCTGGATCCTACTGTTCGAGAGCGGCAGCGCCATCAGGGCTGTAATGATGTGCATCCATGCTTATTTTAATATATGGTGCGACGCCAAGGCTGGATGGTCAGTCTTTATGAAGCGACGCACTGCGGTAAACAAAATTGAAAGTTTACCAGAGGCTGATCGAGAACAATTACGTAACCTCGACGATGTGTGCGCCATATGCTATCAAGAAATGCAGAGCGCCAAGATCACCAAATGCAAACACTTTTTCCATGGGGTGTGTTTGCGGAAGTGGCTCTACGTTCAGGATCGTTGTCCACTATGTCACGAAATCCTCCATTTGATCGACTCCGATGAGAAAACGAGGTCCGACGATCAAGAGCAGGCTGACGCGGAACCTCTGGATATTATGGAACACCACGACAGGTGATAAAGCTTCATTGTGATTTAAGATTATGGACTGGGTTTGGTCGTGTACCGTATTGACTTTGAAACGAAGAGGTGAAAGAAGGTGGTGCTCAAGACGGTAATTTTATTTGATGTGAAAAAAAAAACAAGGAAAAATTGTAAATACAGACTTAGAATTTAACGATGTTGAGGTATTTATAATGTATTTTAGGTTATTTCAAATTTTACTAGGGTTTTGACTTAAATTTATAAAAAGGTCATGGATTTGAAAAGATAATAATTGATTAAATCACTTTTGGCTTAGTAAAACGAGAGTTTTTTTAGAGAATTCAATAAATTAACTATATGTAGCACTATACAAATTTAATATATATTTAAGCATTTATCGGCAATATAAATATATTACATTCAGCATTTTATCTTAAAATTATCCAAAAGAATTAGAGTAATAGAACAATTTCATATCCTAATATTAAAAAAAATAATTATTCCTTTAGTTAAAATAAATAAATAGGCTTATATATTACATTTAACTATGGCTGAATAGGTATTTTTTAGACTATAGTATATACTTTCCTTTCACCACATATGTATATCAACAGTTGAGTTTAATCAAATGAAGCTTTTATAGCATATTTTTATCTTTAGCTCAAAACTTTAGAATTGTCTACTATAATATTAATTTTAATAGTCATTTAATTTTTTTCCATCGTTCTCCAGATCCAGATGCTAAATAAACAATAAATAAAAACACTACAAACAACTTGGAGTAGACATTTTTTAAATATTTACTTATTAGCTAGATATACAGCATGTCTCCGGATTGTCTTTATAAGAGGAAAAAAAAACTTTTTTATTAATGATATTTTGACAAAAAGGCATTCTTGATAAAAAAATTTGCTTGTTCTGAAATGGTCAATTCCGTTTATAGTTTTCCAAATTTCCATATCGTTTTAGAGATAATTAAAAAAAAACATGTAAATATGATTGAATTTTTACTAAAGAAGTCCTAAAAACCAAAAGGCGTTTGTATGGTAATATAATTTCGATTCCTATTTCTTCCAATAACAATCTATCAAAAGTTGAAAAGGAGAGTATATTACCATAGAAACGCGTTTTGATTTTTAGGAATTTGAAAAAATTCAACCATATTTTCATGTTTTTTTTTTTAATTTTGGCTAAAATTTGAAGAAGTATAAACGGAATTAACCATTTCAGATCAAGCAACAATTTTTATGAAGAATACATTTTTCTCAAAATGTCAATAATAAAAAAGTTTTTTCTTTTGTAAAGACAATCCGGGGACATACTGTATAAAGAGTTTATTATACAGGGTGGTCCGAATTGTATTCGGGAAACTTCGGCAATACATTCTACAGAAAAAAAAAATAAGTAAAAAAGTTCGTATAAATGTATGTCCTAGAATACTTCATTTCGGAGATAGAAGTAGAAGTTTCATTTTTATTTCAATTTTAGGTAACCTCACGCCGCTTTTTTATGGGGACCGTATTAGCTACTCTAAAAAACTGACTTCCAGTGGCGGATACCCTAAGATCTATAAATTGGATTAAATATTAGCCTTTTGGGTTAAAAATGGCGCACTAATAAGCATATTCTACATTACTTTTTTACTTGGCCCCCCCTAAAATAAATTTCTGTATCTGCCCCTGCTGACTTATTTAACAGAGCAATCTAGAATGAGGTGGTTTATCAGCTACTGTGTACGCACTTTTTACCAATCATGTTAACATTAGTACGAGTATACAGTATGTCCCCGGTTTGTCTTTACAAGAGGAAATTTTTTTTTATTACATATAAACAGCTTGAGAAAAATGCTTTCTTAATAAAAAATTTTGCTTGTTCTAAAATAGTTAATCTCATTTATACTTTTCCAAATTTCCATACCGTTTTAGAGAAAATTAGAAAAACCTGAAAATGTAGTTGATTTTTTTCCTGAAATCCTAAAAATCAAAACGCGTTTCTATGGTAATATAATTTCGTTTTCATTCTTTGATAGATTGTTGTTGATAGAATTTTAATTAACGTCATATTTTTTGCTGTTTTAAAGTGTTCAAGAAGCACAAAATTTATTTAGTTCAATGCTACGGAAAGAGTATAGTTATTTTTCTAATTTTCTCTAAAATGGTGTGGAAATTAGGAAAAGTATAAACGGGATTAAAAACTTTGGAACAAGCAAACATTTTTATAAAGAATTCATTTTTCTCAAAATGCCAATAATAAAAAAGTTTTTCCTCTTGTAAAGACAATCCGGGGACATACTGTATACATAATTAACTATTAGGAGTATATTACTAATTGCTAGTAATATAATTATTTTTTTTTATCTGCTATTGGTTTTAACATAGTTAGCAAAACAAACATACTGAGTGATTAAAAATAATGTTCATATACAGGGTGGTCCGAGTTGTATTTGGGAAACTTTGGCAGCATATTCTGCAGATAAAAATAAGTAAAAGAGTTCGTATAAATGTATGTCTTAAAATTCTTCGTTTCGGACATAAGGGTGTAAAACTAAAAAACGGCAGAAATATATATTTTTTCACTCAGTAGTGTAACACGAATAAGGACAGAAAGGTATTACTGTTTAAAACAGTAAAAAAAACATGTAGCTGGCACCCTCTATAAGTGGGAGTCATATTGACATCGAAATCAAATTCATCATGTCAAAAATACCCAGGCACCAATTTTTATCCAAATATCGACGTTTGTTCAGAAATTATTTGGAAAAAATCGAAATTAGAATGAAACTTCTAGACCTTGTGTTTCCGAAACTAAGCATTTTAGGACTTACATTTATACTTTTTTACATACTTTTTTACAAAACTTTTTTACATATTTTGATCTGCAGAATATGCTGCGAATAATTCGAGCCACCCTGTATTTTAGACGAATTTTTCGTAGTTTTATGTGGTAATTTAGAATTAAAAAAAAAATAAAAATATTTTTAAACACATTGAAGTATTGACGAAAAAATGCATGCAAATGCATAAATTTGGATAGTGGGAGATCTTTCTGAGAAAAAAAAAACATAAATTGTCTCCTTAAAAATATAATAATACTAAAAATATAGTATGAGACATCTGACTTTCAAAATTGTCTTTGTTTAATACCTATTTAGCCAAAATTATAGAAAGTCCATATGCAAATAAAAAATATTTACACGATCATTATACTTTTATGGATGGATTGAATTGTAAGGCTGTATATTTATCTAATCTGATTAAATTAAAACTCTGCATTGAATCCTGTTTTTTTCTTTTGTATAGTGCTTAAAAATTTATTTGACCATGACATTATAGTTTTCAGTACTCTATTAATGAGTGTCAAAAAATCATGGCTAGTGATACATAAAATTTTAGTTATTGTACATGTTAGGTGCCAATATTTTAAATATTAATAATTACACTGTATTTTGAATGTGTTAAAAGTGAACAGGGTGTCACATTTTTTTGTTTTATACGGTTTCTCGTTTATGAGTAGAGATACAAAGATGCGGTTTTCAAGAAACATCATTGTGCTACTTTTTTATGAAACTAAGATGCTACACACATATTTGTTTTGACCTTCCTAGTTCCTGAAATACGGAACTGTCGTTTTCGAAATATGACTGAAACTTATTTTAATGGGGCACCCTGTATACAGTCGGTTGTTTATACAAAAACGGAAAGTTGTAGAAACAAAATATTTTATGGGTATATGTGGGGAGGCAATGTGCACAATTTAAAATTATCTAGAAATATACAGGGTGTCTCAGAATTAAGATCCATACCAAAGTTATATTTTTTCTTATGGAACACCCGGTATTTTATTTCATTTTTGGATTCTTGGGCCCAAAAAAAGGCATTTATTATAAGGGTTAAATATGTTTAAAATCTTTGGTTTTTGAGATATTTAAAAATATTTAAACATGCATGCTACAAAAGAATTGATTATTAACACCCCTGTACTTTTCAGAATTAATTCTTGTCCTGAGTTTAAAGGTAAAGAAATAAATTTTACTGAAAAATGTTATTGCTTCATTAAATTTATACAGGGGTACCAAAAATTGGTGATCTATTTTAAAGATTTATTTTACATATAAACTTTGTTATTTCAAATACAACACCTTGTATTTTTTTAAACAAATCAAAGCAGATTCAAATGCTCTTTCAAACTATATTAGGGTTTCCTATACCTATATATCTCAGATTTTGAATAAAAAGCGATTTTAAATAAAATGGCAATCAAGGTGGCTGGTATCGCCATGGCAATTTTCTAGTGACAGTTAGTAGCTATATAAAATCACTAGTAACATATTATCTTACTAGTGATTTTATTTTGTGAGGAAAATTATTTCTTAGCCTCAAGAGCTTATGCCCAAATATCTCCAAATAGGAATCTTCCTGGTAAGTGTTTCTTTGAAAAACTACTTGTCCTATTTCCTATTTCGCAGAGTTGGTAGTGTAGTTTATAAAAAAAATCTATTAGGCAGAAACCTGTCGTTGGAAGTGAAGAAATTGAATTTGCCGTAATTGGCTCTTTTATAGAAAATCCGTATATCTACAAGTTATCGTAAAATAAAACAAAGAACTACTTCTTCGTTTTTCTTGCTAGAATAATAAAAATACATATTAATAAATATTATTTATTAAACTATTGTAGGTAAATTAAATAAAAATAAACGGGTATAAATTTAAATACAAACTAATTTTGATTTTGAAAATATTTACTAACTGTCACTAGAAAATTGCCATGGCGATACCAGCCATCTTGATTGCCATTTTATTTAAAAATCGCTTTATATTCAAAATCTGAGATAGATAGGTATAGGAAACCCTAATATAGTTTGAAAGAGCATTTTAATCTGCTTCGATTTATTTAAAAAAATACAAGGAGTTGCATTTGAAATAACAAAGTTTTTGTGTAAAATAAATCACCAAACTTTGGTACCCCTGTATAAATTTAAGGAAGCAATAACATTTTTCAGTAAAGTTTATTTCTTTACCTTTAAACTCAGCACAAGAATTAACTCTGAAAAGTAACGTACAGGGTGTTAAAATCAATTCTTTTGTAGCATGCATATTTAAATATCTTTAAATATCTCAAAAACCAAAGATTTTAAACATATTTAACCCTTATAATAAATACCTTTTTTTGGGCCCAAGAATCCAAAAATTAAATAAAATACCGGTTGTTCCATAAGAAAAAATATAACTTTGGTATGGATCTTAGTTCTGAGACACCCTGTATATTTCAAAATAATTTTAAATTGTGCACATTGACTCCCCACATATACCCATAAAATATTTTGTTTCTGCATCTTTCCGTTTTCGTATAAATCAACCTAGGCGAATGAGGTGCGCCAAACTGTATATTTTTTTAAGTTTTATTTGCCTGTTTTATTTTCACAAATAAGAAAAAATTGCATTATTTAACTTTTTAACATAAATCAGCCTAGTTTAAGAGTATTATTATTTTATTTTATTTAAGTAACAAGAGATAATTTTGCTTTCCATCGTGTTATCTTAATGAACTGCACTGAGAATAAACTAGTACACCTTTTAGTTAACACGCGTTAATCAGAGTTATTGATGAACGAACTTTTGATGCACTTGTGCAAAAATTTCACACACAGAAACTAGAATGGAATAACCAATAACCAAAATTTGACGTCGAATACCTTATTCAATTGTTCTGATTACATATTTTAGACCGGCCGCCTATGTTTAAAGTTAAACAATAGATTTTTTACCTTGTTTATGAAAATAAGTATACTTAGAATAATTATATTTTCAGAAAGATCCTCGGAAATCTCATAACAGGACAAATAAATTAAAGAAACTCACTAAAAATCTTCAGAAAATATCTTTTATACTCCTTTACACTCTATTTTTTAGAATTTTTTGAAGTGGTGGACATGAACAATATGAAAAAAATAAAAACCCATTTTTTCTAAAATCTTCTTGTACTCATTTTTTTTATAATAATCTTTATGTTTATTTCTGGCAAGGATGTATTTTTAATGAAAATTCCACACCTGTAATTTTTAACCAATCAAAACGTGTTTTTCTGACAAATCACCATGGAACGGATAAATTTTAGTGAAATTTTTTTCCGTGTGGGCACCCAACAGCGAATTATACTGGAAATTTTTTGACGTTTATAATGACAGAATATCTTTTTGAGAGTCTGGTTTTTATTTGTTTACATGATGATTTTGATACATATGTAATGTATGTATATGTAAACTGCTTCCATACGCTTGACTTCGATTTCCTAGTATTCGCTTAATCTCCTGGCGAATATTTTCTTTGCTTTCATGACCGAAGCGAAATATTTTTTTTAAGCCGTGCCGCTTGACAGCTTCAAAACTGAAATAGTTTTTAAGTTTGGGTGTTTGGGTATCATCATAGATAAAAGAAAATAATCTACTATTAAGATAGATATGAAACTTAATAGTAAAATTTTGGGTCAAAGCGCCCCTCCGTGTTTTTAGTAGGGACTACGTTTAACCCAGCGCCTTCGCCTTTTCTGCTGTAAATGTTTTTTATGTTTATATTTGAATTCAACGGATATATTAAAGTTACACTCATATATTAGTATATCAGAATAACTTTAATAAAATATATAATAATAATAAAACATAAGAATATATATATTTTACAATTTATTTTTTTTTATTTATTTTACAGAGTTTCATGTAAATGATCGTAAGTCGACTGGCTGTCTAATGAATAGACCGAGATTTATAGATTTTAAAGCGAACGAAAAAAAAATCAAACAACAAATACATACCATATATTTTTCTTTTATCTAAGATACATACCTTATCGTCTTTTGGAAACACGTGCATTTTTGCAGTTTTGTTAGTTTCTTTGCAAGATGCAACACAACAAGAAAACACCATTTTTACAGTTAATAAATAATAAAACTATTTCTGACTATGATATTTAAAATTTAGATAGATAGAAAATTAAAAAAACAAACCAGTATTTGCAGACGCAGGCCCAAATTCAATAAAAATCAAAATTTTTCCTGCGAAAATCAGGCTTTTTTATGGCTTTTTTCGCTGAAAAGGTATTTTTTGATTTATCAGCAGTTATAGTAAAGTTGACAATATACAGGGTGTTATCGAATTAGTCTAAAAAAATTATGGTGTGATTTCTCATGTGTTCTTAATACAATTTTTATATAACCATTAGGTCTAAAGTACTTTCTTTCTGATCTACAGGGTGTTAAAAATTAAAAAAAAAACGAATTTTTTGCTTAACATAAATGGTACACCGTACATCACTGCTTTTTTAAAGAAAATATATTTTTTTCTTGACTGGCCATCGTTTTTCAACAAAATTGATCTTTTGAGTTTTTCTTGTTCATCAAACGGTTGTCGAGAAAAAAATAAATATACTTATTAAGAGCCCGCCTTAATTCGTTTTCTAACGATTTTTTATTTTTTAGATTAATTAGGAAACACCCTGTATATGCATATCACAGGCAACCAAAATAAACTAGTAACCTCTAAAAATTATTTTTCCTACCACTAGCGACTTACCGTGTTTTTAGTGTGTACTAAATTATTTTATCAAAATTTTACCATATAAGTTTCCAGGCAATGGGTACCACTTACTTGTCATGTCATAGTAACTAAATAATCAATTCGACCAAAAATCGAAAAATACATTTTAATTATTTGATTTTCAAACACAATTTGGTATGGAATTTTCTTACCGAATACCACACGAGGTCAAATTAAATCCGGACATTTTTTCTCGCTCATGAATATTTTTAGAAAATTATCCCTCGTCTTCGACTCGGAAAATTTTCAAAATATTCATGAGCTCGAAAAAATTTCCGGAAATAATTTGACCTCTAGTGGTATTACTAGTGAAAAAATATTTTCTATTCACTTTTTTAAACTAAACAAAAATATAAGTTAGATAAAACAAGATTTTAGAAAAAAAATGAGTACCACTTCAAAAAATTGTAAAAAATTCCAGAGTGTGGCGGAGTATAAATGACATTTTCTGACAATTTTTAATGAGTAACATATTTCACAAAGGTTAAAAAAATGAAGATTTTAATTTTCTTTTCTCCGCTAAAAATCGACTTTTCGTTTAAGAATCATGATCATATTATTTTTCCATGTCTTAGACTTCTAAGAATTAGAAAAAAACATCATTAATTAATTTTGAATCTTAAAAATAAAAATAAAATTGAGATAACAGGTTTTTTTCAAAATCTCGAAAACCGTTTGAGTTAAAGAGCTGAAAATTTAGGTGAATTATTTTGATTCAACACCAAATCGATCCCCTGAGTGCGAGTAAAAGCCTCGGAGGCAGATTTCCTCTATTAATTTGGCTATACCCTTTGTGTGTAGCATCTTTGTTTTTGTCTACTCATAAACGAAAAACCCTGTAAAACACACGAAAATGGGACACCCAAAACATTTGGCTTTCTTATTTGTATTATGAAATTTGTGAAACAGAGCAAAACTTTTTAACACTATTTCTTTTGTTGTTACATAGCTAGACATATTTATTTATGATGTATATATTTGTTTTTTCAAAGTCAATATGGAAGTATACTTTAAAATAATTATTAGTTACATCAATAATTGTTAGTATTTACATATAAATAAACAAATTGTATATAAAACTTGGTTGTACATATGAAAATCGTAATTTAGTCAGCATTGGCTGGCTATTACTATACTTTATACAAAATATCTAATTTTTTCTTGGAAATATAATTTATTTATATAAACAATTTGTATTGCACTCATTTAAAGGATATTTATTCTTGACAAATACAAGGTCTGATAGAAAGTACCATGGTTTCCATTTTTTTTCTGTAGATTTAGTTGAATACCAGATCCTTATAGTTGGAAAGTAGATAGTAGTTTGAGACTCTGCAATTTGTTAACGCCCTAACCACTGTCATGCGATCTGCTCTTTCAAAATTTGCCTTGACAATTTCATAATATCTTCCATCACTAGAAAGAAACATAAAATTTTAATAGTCGTATCAAAGACCCATTATTTCGAAAAAAAAACCCTATTATCATAGTGGGGTGAGAGGGCTGAAAAAAGTTTTACATCTGGCAACCAATGCGCCCTTTTGGATTCAGATAGCACATAGGTAGATGAGTCTAAAAAGCTCGGGACACAAATTTTTCTGGCCCTCTAGCGGTTTTGATGACGTAGTCAAAATTGCCGCCAAAATTTTGACACACGCTTCTAGATTTCCCGTTATAACTCAATTTTCCTTTCCGTTATTAACATATGTCTTTGGTGATTATGAATTAGAAGAAAACATGCTTCCCAACGGTGTATTTGGTTTTATACTTTAGGTTCACAAAGCCAAAAATATTTGAAATTTTATTTTTTATTTTTTTTTTATTTTAATTTTTTTCATCGTATTTTGCTAAATAACTTGAAATCAGTTACATTTAGCTAAAAACGTGTCATATTGTTCGTCAGAGAATTACCTTTCTAGCGGTATATATGACTTCTATTTTGTCACAAATGGTTTTTGACAATTTGCCAAAATATTGTAGCGTTACACATCTATACTCTGTTTTTTTTCTCAGGTAAGATTTCGACAGACAATGACAGAAGAAAAGCAGATGACGTCCCATACCAATCTATTTATTTTACTTAAAAAAGTTTCTAATAATTTTTAAGTTAACTATGGATGAATTTAAATATAAATCCGTCATGCCTCGTCTCTTGTTGTTTTAACCAGTTTTATTGGTTTATTTCAAAAATGACACATCGTATTTCAATTTTATCGGTTTGACGGAACGATGAACGGCAAACGGACGCCGATGCGTATGAACTCGCCTTTAGATTTTTGACGCTTGTCAAAGTCTTGCCAAATTATCGGTTATAATTTTGTGTCAACTTTTGTCAAATACCCTGCGTTTTGGAAGATGTGTTTTGTGTCTTTTGAAGTCAAATTGAGGAAAAATCGAGTGAAAATTAACTGTAGTCTCAGAGCACAGTTTATGCTTAATACTCGCTGCCCAGGCAGAAAGTCTTATTCACCAATAAAGTTCCAACAATAAAGTTCGTATACCATCTCGTCGTAGATAAGTGCATCTCGAATATGGTAGGAGGACCATACTATGGAGTAGCTGTAAAATATCGACATCACATGATAGGTAAATAATGGATTTTAGTACTGCAGAAAAATAATGTCAAAAGATACTGGTTTAAAAAAATTAAGATTAAAGTTAATTAATCAACTTTTAAGGTATAAAATTTGGTAAGTGCTATTATTAATAAAATAGTTTGTTTTATTTATGTTGTTTTATTTATTCCTGTGGAATATTACAAATATGTATTTGTACATAAGTTATATTGATAAATATAATCATGAATGCGGGAAGTTTCATAAAGCTTGAAAGTAAGAAATAGTTCTTTTTTTATATTTTTTTGGTATCTGGTGTCTTGTTCTTGTTTGTTTTGTATTAACACATACCGTTTTTTATTAAATAAAATAACTCGATTACATTTTTTTCAGTTTTATACAGTTTTTTTCACAATATTTTGAAACAATCACTTGTCAGTCAAATTTTAAATATATTAATTTCCTGCTATGCGTTCCAGTTGTACCAACTTATTTCTTTGTAAAATAAAATAAACTACTTTGAAATTAAAATGACAGACACATCTATTACTGTCAAGGATCTTCTCGTTGGACAGACTATAGTCGTTATGGTAAAAACACAATTTATATAGATCCTGAAAAGTAATACAGCGACCTAATGACTGTAAGTAATTGCTGTCATTTTTAATGTATTTCTAAAAATATACGAAAAATGGTGTACCCTTCTAAGTCGTGTCCCACTGTGTTTGTAACATTAGCAATAGATAACATTGATCACAACCAGTCTTCTTCTACTTTAACCGTTAACTGTTCCATGGTTCAAGTGTTACTATTATTCAGCATCCTCACAGTGAAGCAACTATAGAGATTGACGATGACAGCATTCGTATCCAGCAGTGGAACAAACAAATTGTCAATGGTCTACCTGAATATTACACTACTCTTCCTGCAACTGGTAAAGTAACAAGTGACCCATCTTTGCTTACTGTCAATCCACAGTACACGGACCACGATCCTGCATTCACCCCTAGGAAAGTTTTAAGTCATTGGCTTAACTCTGTCCTGCAGAGAGTGTATATTGCAGACATACAAGTATGTGCCTACGAGCATACATACAACAAGTATGTACATAAGAGCACGTGTCTACAATATCGTTTGCTGCTTTTCATGCACAGAATGAACCTGGTATTAAAAAAATAAGGTGTAATGCGTCGTTGCTTCCACTTCTTAATGACGAAATTGCAACGCCATCAATGGTACGTCATATGATGGATATCATAGTAATAGCTACTGCAGAATTACATGCAAATTCAATTCCAAATGTACATGCTCAATTTCTTCGTGGTAACTTTATGAGCAGCAAAACTGCTACAACTTTTTCTGCAATATCTGACGATCAGCTTCATGAACACAATAATAACGTTATAAAAGGTGAAGGTGAAACATATCAAACAACATATCAAACGAGCTACATTCCAAGCCACAATTTGGAGCAACAGTCTCGTTGCACAATACACGATACATTCACCAACCGAGTGGGAATGGATACTAACTTCGGAAGGATCATACCGACCTGTGTGGATAACAATTCCAGGAGTTTCAAAACACTATGTAGAACTTACCTCCTGTACTTGCCGCAAGCGATGTACATCTTGTAAATGTGTTAAAATGGGAATACGCTATACAAAACTTTGTGTATGTGAAGGACAGTGGACAGTGCTCGGATAGTGATCGGTAATCATAAGTGCGGGTAATGCAAATCCTCTACTCTGGATATGACTTCTGTAACTATATATCTGTATGTTTGAAAGCTACTTTACAGTTATACCTTGAGTGTGCTTCGTGTTTGCGATTTTAAAACGGAAATCAAAGTTTCGTCTTCCGAAAAAAGCTATACCTTATTTACTTATTCACCTAAAATTAGTTATTAAATTTTTTGCTTTTTGGCAGGTACAAAACCGCTGTATTACTTCTCGAAATCTATAAATTACATTGCTGCCCTAACGACTAGTTGTGCAACGCTACATTGTTTTGGCAGATTTTTAGCAACTGTTTATGATAAAATAGAAGATATATATACCGTTGTAAAGGTATTTTTTTGCGAAGAAAAAAGTATAAACACATTTTTAGCTACATATAGCGAATTTCAAGTTATTTAGTAAAAATCTGACGAAAAAATTAAATTAAAAAACATTTTTTTTATGTAACAAATATTTTTGTTATTATAAACGTAAATAATTTTGTGAAATATACCATTAAAAAGCGCTTTTCCTCCTCTTTCATAATCACTAACAATTTTTGTTAATATCGAAAAGTGAAACTGACTTATAGCGGGAAATATAGAAACGTGTCTAAACATTTTGGCGGCCATTTTGATTACATCATCAAGACCGCTAGAGGGCCAGAAAAATTTGTGTACCGAGATTATTAGACTTGTCTATCCATGTACTATCTAAATACAAAAGGGTGCGTTGGTTGCCAGATGTGAAATATTTTGGCATAATTTTAAGCTAACATACCCCACTATCAGTTTTTTTTTACAAATATGCAGGTAGTACTGCAAATTTCAGCAATATCATTGTTAATATACTGTAAGTTAAATATATTTTTTACAATTGTTTTTTTCTAAATGTAGTAGTTAAAACTTTTATAATTTGTAATCAAATTGTCATTTAAAAAATACTATACCGGGTGCGTCTAAAAAGTGGCTCACCCCTACGACTTTTTTTATTTTTTTAGATAAAAAACGAGATTTGGAATGTTAGTATATGACATAAATTAGGAATGATTGACGTATTCAATTGTTTCACCGAAAATGACTACAACTTTTGATTTTTAAATGGCACCCTGTGTATATTTCTACTTTAATCGTTAGAAAATGACTTTCTGAATAGAATGACATATATCATAGGTCAACTTTTGATATTTTCGCTTAAAAACAAAAATCGTATTTTAAATTTCAATCTGAAAGTGCCACGGCTGTGTTAAAAACTGTAATTTTTAATCAAGGAGCCTTGAAAAAATAGTTTTAATCGTTTAATGTTTTTAGTGTCTTGTACTGGTCGGTTAAAAGATGCATAAATCGTATTTTTAATCATATCTCAATTTTTTTCAAATGGAACAAGAATGACTCATTAGTATGTTTGGAAAAAGCATTTTTTATGAGTAATTTGGTTTGATTTACACACACTACATGTTATATTTTCAAATAAATCATATGCGGAGATGTTAAAAGTTGACATATATGTGATTATATTCAGATTGTTATTTTCTATCCAACAAAGTAAAAAATACCGAGGGTCTCATTGGAACTTTTGTTAAAAACTTATTAAGTCATTTCACGATTTTTTACCTATTTGTCAATATGATTTTTCTAGTATTTTTGTAGTCGATGTTGATCTTTAAGAACTGAAAATTTCAGAGTAAATGTCGATTTTGATATACCCTAGAACTGCTTAACACATAATCATAAAGATAAATGAGAACTATGTTTATTCTCTAATGGGGAGAAAATACAAACATATGTGATTTTGGCTCACAGGAAATAGCATATTTTATTTTTGGAATCAAATTATCTTACAGGGAATAGCATATTTTATTTTTGAAAAGAATATTAAAAACATTTTAAGAGGCTAATATAAATACATGCCCAAAGAGTGAGAGATATTGTACCTAAATGTGTGTACGTGCAAATTAAACTTAAAAAACTTGATGTGACTCAGCAGAGTGTCTACAAGAATTACTTATGTATATTTATGCAATAAGATCACTTGGTAGAGGGGAAAATAACTATTCTTTATCCTAAGTGAGTATATACTAATTTCATTTTTTCAGAAAAGCTCCTAAATTAAAATAAGTGTGTATCTACTATTTTTCATGAAATTAAATAGATTTTATTTTGTTATGTGCAACTGCATTTTATCTATTCAAAGCAATATTGAGTTTGTTGAAGATCGGGCGTCTAGGGATAAATTAAACTAATAAAAAACGTCAAAAGTTAAATCGGTTAAATATTTTCAAGTAACTTTTTATTCAAAAAACAATCATGTCAGTCTTAGTTTGTTTAATTATTTATATGATGAGTTTATATGTATTTATGAAACATTGTCCGTCGCTATTTTTTCTTTTTGTATCTGTTGGTTTAATTTAAAAATGAACACATCGCACTTCAACGCCCAAGTCGCATTTTCACGACTTGCGACAACATGTTTACTAAACACAACGTTGGATTAGTTACAAAAAATAGTTAGGTTCCCTTGGGTATTAAAATAAATGTAAACGTTGTTGTAACGTTGTGCCGACGTTGAACTAGTACTACAACAAAGTAAAAGCTTATGCGACGTCGAATAAACGTTATCTTGTAACCTTTTTTGCTTAAGTGATCTTTAGGTGATTCGGACAACGTAGTTACAGTACGTCTGTCCCTTCTGTAGCTACGGGGTATCCGTGAGAGGGGAAACGATATTCTCTCGATGTTTTTCGTAAAAAATTAGACGACGCGTCCCATCAATAAAAATTCGAGAAATTTGCAAGTAGCCAATAAAATGAGTGGGCGGAACGATTTGCGGTGACGCACTCGTCAAGTCGGCGTATAAAATATATTGCTGTTTATTTAAATGTTTTTTGTCCACATTCCTTTCGTAGACACAGATCCAGCAGACGCACTTTACCGACTGCGACTAGCCTAATATATTTCGGTATAAACCTATAATCTTAGTGATTTTCATAAAAATTCTTCGTGTCAATCATAAGTACCTATTATATAAATTATAAATATTAGTATTACTCCTATTTATATGGTAGGTACATAGTAGTCTGCAATTGCTATATTATTTTAATAAAAATAAATTATATTAAAAACCAAGTAATTTTAGAGCGGTCATTTATAAGATTTTATCATTTTGTTAGCCATGAGAATTGCGCTATAAAACTCAAAGTTTTGCCAATTACTGGTTTTATTTTTTTCTTTTTTTTTGTTACCTATATTCTTTATAGATACAGAATATATTTAAATAATCTTCATATAAATTATTTGATCGTCCTTGGCAGTTATTTTATCGTCCTTTTTGCCAAATTCGAAAAAGTTATTTATTTACAGTGTTCTACTGGAGGTCATTAACATTAACTGAATAAAAAAATCAGCAAATTATGGTAGGTATCTTTAGAGTCGGAATAAAAATTAAATATGCAATTATTAAAAAAAATAATTTCTTTAGAAATAACTTGTATATAATATCCCAAATAGTACAAACCACTATCAACTTACAGTCATTTCTGAATGATTAAATGGAATTGTATTTTATATGGTGAAGATAATCTACATAATATAAAATGCTAATGTTTCTCTGTGTCGTCTCTACTGAAGTAACGACTTGCTCTAGAGAGTTGCTTTTTTTACTAAAAGATAGCTAAGTGGCTCCTCTAAAAACTGTCGACGCCGGATTTTTTGTGTTTTTCGTTTAATTATAAAAAAAAGTAAAAAGTATTGTTTTTTCCTGATGTCGCATTTTGTGGCGGATGCGCCAGGCTTCAACTAAGCTTCAACTAGTTTATTAAATACCATTCTATTGAAATTTTGTCTTCTTTAAATGGCGAATGCGCTGGGATAGAATTGAAAATCCATTGTTTTATATTTACCTCAATGCTAAACATTTTAATTTAAGACACTTTACTCTCAAAGTGTCTATAGCTTTTTGACTCTTGTCGGAAAATCTCAAATTGTCTGGATCCCATCTTAATTCCAACCTTTCCAGATTACTGCAATTTTTAGCTATACTGTCCATTAACTGATCTGCTAAGATATTTACTCCAAGCCTTTCTTGAGTTCCCATTACGATTATCCTAAGAAGCAAGAGACAGTTAGTAGAATTCATTTATTATCGACTCAATCATAAAATCGTTTATATATATAAAAAAAAACTTTAATACTCTTAGCTATAGCTAAAAGCGTCTCGCCAAGCAAAAAGTACATTTCATAGAGTTAGATCATAGTTAGATGTCTGAAAATTTAACACAATATAGTATCGTAGGGGGAAATGGCGCCTAAAATATTTTCAACCATAAAGGCCAGGACTTTTTATTTTTAATTGTAGCTACCAGCTTATGATACTGGTATTTTAAAATTACAAGTATGTTTTATGTAGAATCTACACGAAGTTATAGGTATATTGTTTGAATTATTTTAAATTGTATGTTATGAATGAAATTATAGTACCGAATACTTTTAAATAGTTTTCATCATGACTGCGTTTTTAATGACATATTTTCTTTATTTTTAAAAAGCACTTTACTTATTTTTTTTATACAGGGTCCGGCAATAGTGAGTCGGGCATCTGTACAGTACGTCTGTCCGTTCTGTAGCTACGGGGTATCCGTGAGAGGGGAAACGATATTCTCTCGATGTTTTTCGTAAAAAAATAGACGACGCGTCTCATCAATAAAAATTCGACAAATTTGCAAGTAGCCAATAGAATGAGTGGGCGGAGCGATTTGCGGTGACGCACTCGTCAAATCGACGTATAAAATGTATTGCTGTTTATTTAAATGTTTTTTGTCCGCATTCCTTTCATAGACACAGATCCAGCAGACGTACTGTAGCTCCTAGAATAAAAAAGTTGCAAATTTTGTTTAAGCGCAAACCTGAAGTATGTACTTGGATGTATTTCAGGAAAATATTTAACTTAAAGTACAGTAAAAGTGTGAGTGGATCGGGATAATATTTTTTAATTTGACACCTTGTGTGCATTTTTGGCCTTCTTTCTTCTTTCTTCTTTCAGATCACTTTACATAATTTTAAGATATGAGTAAATATATTTCAATAGTTTTAGAGATATTAATAAATAAATAAAAAATATATATTTTTCAGCTTACTTAAAAAATTTTATTAAAAATACAAGAACTGTCCTGAAATCAAAACTATATTAAGTATTTACTTTAGATGGTCTGTATACTTACTGTGCTCTAAATATCGGAATCTTAAATTATACAGGGTGTTCAAAATTCTGCACCACACTTTCTAGAAATCTTGTTTAAAAAAAAATGGAGAATATTATCATTAAAAATAAATACATTTTTTGAATAAAACGTTTACATGAATTTCTCTATCAATAAATTTTATAAACTTATTGATTATCAATCCGTATTTCTGTGGATTACTTAAACACCTACAAATTTTGTAAAAAAATAAAAACTCACACACATTTTTTGAACAAACAAAAATAATATTAAGTAAACAAAAATGGAAAAAGAAATTTTTACTACTTCACAAGCAAATAAAAATAATATTTAGCCAAGAGTTATAATTCAGTCAAAATTGAAGATTTCTCTGGGAGTACCCAGCAGTACCTCGGGAGGAGGGGGGTCCGGCACCGGCACCCCCGGCACATTTACACCAACAGTGTTGATAAAAATATATTAAAAATTATTAAAAAAAATTAAAATTATCCGATTTTTCCAACGAAACTTTTCATAAAACTGTCATGCCAGTTGGCCCATTATAATAATAATAATAATAGCTCCCGTATACAGGGTGCTACAAATTCGAGGTACGAGCATTGGTATCTCGGTAACCGTAATAGATACGAAGATGGCTAAATTGGGGCAAAGTTGCGCCTTGGGATGTTCACCGAGATGCCATCAAAAAAGTTTTAAAAATTTCAAGGATTGCTGAGTTTTTTGGAAAAAACTGATTTTTTTGAAAATCAATTTTATTTTTTCCTGTCATTAGTTTTTAGAAAATCAAAAAACTAATTGCACATTCTCATTAGGGCTATCGGATAGTATTTTTAGATTTTTAAATTAGGTGATAATTTGTGAGATACAGAGGCCTACTTAATTTTTTTAAATACGGACCTGCATTTTTTATTTCAGATTTTAAAAGAACTCGGTCTCCTGAGTACAATGATATGCCACACTTAATTTTTTTTTGTTTTGACATTTGAACACAATTTATTTAATAAATAAATAAATAAATAATGATTTTTATTGTATAAAGAGTAATATTGCAAATATACAATATTACACAATAATTGGTAGGAGTTTGGCGTTAGCCACTCTTCCACTCCACCATAAAATAAAAGTAAATGATTCTGCACTTAGAATTCGAATTATAAAAAAAATGCAAAAGAATAATTACAATAAAGAATATATTTTTTTTTAAACAGCTGATCATTAAAACGATTTTAAATTAATTTAATTAGTAGACAATAATGTATTATTTTTAATTAGCAAACAAACGATTTTTTATCTCAAATTTAAATCTTGAAAATGGTGAATCTAGTATATCTAGAATTGGATTTAACAATAAAGGTGCCTTATAGGAAAAACTACATTTAAATTTTGCACTAAATGCCGCGGGACTGTAAAAGTATTTAATCTAATATCTCTACTATGGATTTCTGATCTTTTTATAAGTACATTGTATAAATATGGAGGAACTTTGTATGTACAGACTTTATATAATAACATAATATAAAGGTATTGAAAACGTAAAGAGAGTCTAGGCTCATTCAATTTAATTAGGTGAGGAGTTACGTGCTCTCTATATTGTAGATCACAAACAAATCTCACCGATGCATTTTGTACTCTCTGTATTTTTGCTTGGTTGTAGTTTGTCAATAAAGTGCAATAAATCTGACTGCAATAGTCCCAATGTGGATATATCAGCGCCTTTATTAGGTGAAGTTTTGTCGCTTCATCCAACAAAAATTTCAGATTATACATGCCCTTCAATTTAAACATAGCTTGTTTGTATACTTTATTACAGTGATGTTCAGTCAGGCCGCTGTCTAGGTAAACTCCCAGGTTCTTGGCAACATCGACCCATTGGATCAGAGTACCACCAATAGATAAATCAAAATTGGAAACAATAAAGTTTCTACTCCTCGCATTACCTACACAAAGTGCATGAGTTTTATTAGAATTTATTATTAGTCCATGGTTACTACACCATGTTTCGTAAGCAGCCAAATCGCGGTTCAAAATAGTAACAGAGTCCCCAGCATCTTCAATGGCAGTTTCCAGATATATCTGTACATCGTCAGCGTACATATGCATTTGACACTTATGAATCGCTGATGGCAAATCAAATGTGTATAATAAAAATAAGAGTGGGCCCAAGATGCTACCCTGGGGCACTCCATTCGTTGTCACGCTAAAGTTGGATAATTCTAAACTATTCAGCTTTACTCGTTGTGTCCTATCATTTAGATAATCTTCAAACCAAGACAATGCAGCAGTATCACATCCGATGAATCGAAGCTTAGCTAAAAGCAATTGAAACTTAACCGAATCGAATGCCTTACTCTGATCCAAGAGAACTAACATTTGTACACTTAGAGACCATCCATGGCGCGAGAAAGATCATCTACAATCTTAAGCAAAGCTGTAGATGCTTCATGTTTAACACGAAATCCAGATTGGACCATTGGAAGAATATTGTTAGCCTCCAAAAACTCTAAAATTTGTTTATAAATTATGTTTTCGAATAATTTCGATATAGCCGGTAATATACTGATAGGTCGCAAATCACCAAAAGAACCGGGCGTCAATACCTTAGATATAGGGAGAATATTAGCTGATTTCCATGCACAAGGAAATTTACCAGATATGATTGAGCTGTTGAATATATTTTTGATATGAGTTATGCAGTGTGGCAATACGAATTTAAACTAATTTTAAACTATCAAATCATTTTCCCAGAAGATGGATTGGAAATGGTAGAGAGTATAATGTCCAGCGAGGTTTCTGGACCTATCGTCAAGTGGCTACATTACTTGATGTCATTTGTAAAAGTGAAATCAATTCATCTCAACTTTTACAATAAAGAGTACAAAATGCATTCGGAAGTATTAGAAAAAAGTTCAAAGAGCTATAAATAAAATTGAACTAAAAATAAATGTGTGCAATAGGGAGGGTGGTAATCCTTTCGAACATGTGGAACATTAGAAACTAGTGTGTAGAAGTTGATTTATTTATAATAACTACGATTAATTTTATGCATATTATTAGATCGCACACTGAGATTTCAAATTCACAATAAAAAAAGTTAAAAATAATATCTTTAAATTTCTGACCTGGATATTATTTATTTGACTGTTCCAATTGGCTCGATTTTCCTTATTCAATGTTAATTAGCGCTGATCAATATTGTTGCGATGAATATAATCAGATCAAATAATTTAAGAAACAAGAGTCGGACTTGAAATTATAGTAAATAATAATTAAATAGTTTTGTTGCTGTTAAGGTACCCAAAACAAAAAAAAAAAATTGAAGAAACAAAAGGATTGTGAATCCCAAGTACTCATTTTAAGGCTGAGACGACCTAGGTACCCAAACTATTTTTATTTTAATAAAGATAGTCGGCTGATGAAATGCCGGGTGTTGGATTCGAACCTACAACCTTGAGATTCGTAGATAAGAGCCTGTACCTCTACGCCACCGGGCACCATGGCCCATTATTAGTGTTTTATTTTACAAACTTCTAAATATACTATGTACTTTTTGCTATAGTAATTTAACAATACAGTACTAATATTTACTTTGCATTAGCTAAGATCGGCAATATTGATTGCCACAAGGAATCAGTGATGTGAGTCATTCCAGATAATCCCAGACCCCAAAGTTGATGACCGTATTTACATAGGAATTTATAAATGGCATCTTCTGATAGGTTATCTGAACTGTCTAAATCCAAAGACACCTAAAATTAAAATAGGAAAATAAGCCTTAAGAGCAAAATAGTATAAGTTTGTCAGTGAAAAATGTAATGTTGTTAAAGTATGTGCATAATTTTCAACCAACTATTTTCATACCAAATTCCTCGGATTACCCGCATCCATCCAAGTTTTCAACACTGAATCGTTGAAGCCGTTGATTTGACCAGCACTAAGAAACCTCAAACCTGGCAATCTGGTCAGCATATCCTGTAGACATTCCGTGGATAGATCTGTCGCTGTTATGTCAAATTCCTGAAGGGAGCACTTTTCCCACTCCACTTGCATCAGATAGTCGCTCTGCAAATCTTTACAATCGTAAAAACCTTTAGAAAATGTTTTGTTTTAGTATAGCTTACTGGTTCCGTTCATCAGCAAGCATTTTAGTCTTCTACTTCTTTGAAACAATATTTTCAATGTGCTTCCGGTTACTTTGTTGCAATAATTTACTGCTAAGCATTCTAACTGTAATGAAGAGATCCTTACTGAATAAGTTCTGTTGGAGTTTAATAATTGCAATTAAACTATGAAAATATAATAAATCATGAGATTTGTAATGTGATTAAGTTGTAATGAGATTTGTAATGAGAGAGTTATCTATTCCTATATTTACTAAAACCTAGATCAAGATCTACAATACCGGGTGTTTTTCAAAAATGGTTCGCCCCTGTAACTTTTTTTTTTGTAAACTGTTATATGTTTTTATGTTTTATGTAAACAGTTATAAAATTAAATAAACTCCATAAACTATATCAATTTTGGAAATAGCTACTAAATGTCACTAGAAAATTGCCATGGCGACACCAGCCATCTTGATTACAGTTTTATTGAAATATTGCCATCTAGATTGTCATTTTATTAAAAAAAATCGCTTTTGTCTATTAAAAATCTATGTCTGAGCCAGATAGGTATAGGAAACCCTAATATAGTTTGAAAGAGCATTTAAATAGATCAGCAATTTTTGGTACCCCTGTATGCATTTAAGGAAGCAATCAAATTTTTCAGTAAAGTTTCTTTCTCTATCTCTAAACTCAGCACAAGAAATAATTCTGAAAAGTAATGTAAATGGTGTTGACAATCGTATCTATTCATAACAAAACAACAAAAACCTAAGTTTTTAAACATATTTAACCCTTATAATAAATGGTTGATTTTTTAGGCCCAAGAGAGGTATGAATCTTAGTTCTGAAACACCCGGTATATTTTAAAACAATTTTAAATTATGCACATTGCCTCCCCTCATATATCCCTAAAAATGTTATTTCTACATCTTTTCGTTTTCCTTCCTGTATACCCAATGTAAATCAAATATTTTTTTGATTTTATATTTTTGCCTGTCTTTAAAGTAAAATTATAAAAATTTATACCGGGTGCGTCTCAAAAGTGGCTCACCCCTATAACTTTTTTATTTTTTCCGATAAAAAAAACGAGATTTGGTATGTTGTTATATGATTGATTGCGAGTAATGTAATTTTGTGGTTAGAAATAAAAAGAGTTTTTTGTTTTATAAGTTAATTATTAGGCTTTTCTATGGATAAAACTGACTGCCGCAAGCTTTGCTAGGATATTCTATTAATTTTAATTGTATTTTTTTTAGACATTGTGAATGATCTTAAACTCATAAGCTTCATTCCGAACCTCGCAATTAGTGGAATAAATTGGTGGTTTCAATTAGCGTAGCAATTTGCTCCTTTAATTTCAATGTAAGCATTCAGAACGCCAAAATTAATAGACATTTTCAATTGGTAGAGAAAGTTATCAAACTTTTAACTTTTCCACTAACTATACTTCAAAATTTGTCAGAAATGTCATTTTGGCCTTTGATTATCTTGCGTCAAGAGAAATCAAAAGTTGATTGTTTTATAAGATAAATATTAGGCTTTCTCTAGGGATACAACTGGCTAACGCAAGCTGTTGCTAGGATACGTTTTAATCGTGTGTTTTAAACATTGTGAATGATCGTAAACTAAAAATATAAAGTGTATTTAAAACCACTAATTGCGAGGTTCTGAATGAAGCGTTAAAAGTATAAAGTGTAATTGAAACCACTAATTGATTTCACTAATTTCGAGGTTCTGAATGAGGCTTAAGTCTATTGCTTCCATACCTGAATACAGTTAGAACTGAAGGCGTCGATATGACTGTCATCCACAAAATTAATTCCATACAAATTAATCACCCTCAAATTCGGGGTGGCGCTTTTCAGCCTGTGTACATTAATAACTTCATAAATTTCTTCTTCCTCCTCTTCAACTTTCTCATACGTTCCTATTAAATGTAGGATTTCCAAGCCGTTAATAAAATTGTAGATTTTCCTCATAAAACCTTCCATAAAGATGACCTCCGACAAACAAATACACAAATACTTTAGTTTGGTGGGGAAGGCTTGAAGTTCGCTGAAATCGTGTAGTTGCATAGCTGTCGAGAAATCCAGCAACATGTGTGTTAGATTGGGGCATTTATTAGCTAATTCGTGCAGGACAGTGTGGGTAATAAGTTCGATGGGAAGTTCAATATATCTGAAACCAAAAATACTTTTTTACAAATGTTTTTCTTCTTCTTACAGTGCCATACTCTATATAGCGCGTCGGCTACCTCTCGCATGTACTTGTGATGTGTGTCATCAGTGTTTCACAAGTACACGGGACCGACAGTTTATCGCCGAATGCGAACGGCACTATTTGAGAGGTTGTACAATGTACAAGGTAAATATACTCAAGGTGGTTTGCCATTGCCTTCCTTGAGGTGGCGGCTCGTTGGTCGCACTATTTAGATAAATAAATATTTTTATTTAAATAAATAAAGCGACCGTACTGGCTGGGGATCGAACCCAGTACCTTCCTCTCCGCAGATCGACACGCTACCGCTGGATCTACGGCCGGCCACACAAATGTTTTTAGCTATCTCAAATATAATACACCCTCTACACTATTCGGAGAATAGTTCGAAGCAGGTCAAGGTTAGCGTAACTTTGTCGCGTTTCGGCTAATATCCAGTTGTCTTGGCTTATTTCGATTTGTCTTGACCTACTTTCGTTTCTTAAAAGCGCCTCGAAACTACTCGTGAAATTGCGGAGAAGGGTGTTGGTTTTTTTGGCGTTTCCTCTTGTCTCGTTCTCGTTCAAATTCGTTTCATTTTTTAATGTTTTTACAACGTGTCGGTATCTGTACCCGAGGCAAAGGGCTTTTTTCACAAATGTCAGTGAAATACGTAAAATTAGACGTTTCTAAAATATCTGTTGTTATAATGATATTTCGTTAATTACATCTCGTTTTATGTTGATATATATTTCACAAGATTAATATTTGAGCACGCGTTTATAATATGCATAGGTTACGTGTGTTATAAAGATTTTGTCGAAAGGTTTTTGGAGACAATTCCAATAAAAAAGCATTGAGTTTACTTCTGAAAGTATTTCGAAAAATGCTTCGCCGAAATGTAGAGAGTGTTTAAATGTGTAGTATCTGACAAAGGGATTTAACCACCCTGTACATTGCTTTTCAGAATTAATTCTTGTGCTGATTTTTAAGCCAGAGTAATAAACTTTACTGAAAAATTTTATTGCTTCGTTTAATGTATACAGGGGTATCAAAAATTGATGTCCTATTTTAAATATTTATTTTACATAAAAACTTCGTTATTTCAAATGCTTTTTCAAAGTGTATTAGGTTTCCTATACCTATTTAGCTCAGATTTTGAATAAAGAGTATTTTTTCAATAAAATGGCAACCAAGAGGGTGTCGTCATAGAAAGATTTTAATGACAGTTAGTACCTATTTTCAAAATCGAAATTAGTTTATGGAATTTATTTAAGTTTCTAGCAGTTTACTTTTATTTAATTTACTAATAAACTTAATAAATAATACTTATTAAATATGCATTTATTATTCTATTAGGAAAAACGAAGAAGTAGTTCTTTCTTCAATTACAGCAAATTCATTTTCTTCACTTCCAACGACAAGTTTCTGCCTAAAAGGTTTTTATAAACCACACTACCAGCTCTGCGAAATAGGATACCTAAGTATTTTTTCAAAGGAACGCTTATCAGGAAGATTCCTATTTGGATCTCTTTGAGCATAAGCCCTTGAGGCCATTTTCTCACAAAATTTGCCAGAGATGCCGACCCGGTATACCAAAAAATGTAGGTATCATTATGAAACCAAAAAAAATGTTTTTAGTAGCTTTATGAAGATATTTTAAGAGATCCATTATATTAGAACTACTAAAAAAAATGAGGAAAACGGAAAGATATGTTTAATAAAAATAAATAATATTTTTAAAACGCCTGATTGGGTGAGCTTAATATCTATGGAGATATATGGATCTATATTATTCTCTCTATAGAGAGTAGGAAGTTTTAGTGACAAAAAATATTAGGTTCCACCGAGATTTGAACTCGAATCGCTGGATTCAAAGTCCAGAGTGCTAACCATTACACCATGGAACCTCTATATTAATAAAATTGCAGATATTTTTGTAACATAAATAAGTCTTGTGTACGTTCTGCTAATCTATATACTAAATATAATTTTATTTATTTTTAAAGCATACATATTTTAAATTATTATATCAGATCTATATGCACATAAATTACATATTTTGGTTTAAATTGATAGTGTTGTGAATTAATTATTTATCATTATTTTCATAAATAATCATTAAAAAAATTATCTCTGAATTTATTATTTATGTGTCTGTCTAACACATATGCCATAAAATATAATTAGCCTCGTAATTAGCTAAAGTATGATTTTAAATTATTGATTCAAAAATAAATCTTAAAGTAAAGATCCAAGTTTGACATTGATTACTTCGCGAAGTAGTACGAAGAATATAGACGCGTGTTATTAAAATGTTGTCAAAACTGATCGAAACGTCTCTCAAAACATTTCCCGAAACAATTAAAATAACAATAAATATGAAACAATGACGATTTGTCTCGGTCGATTTCGATATGCTTCGGAGTTTGCGGCCGACAAGCCAAGATTCCCCGCAACATCGCCGCAACAACCCAAAGAAAATCATTGAGTTTACTTCTAAAAGTATTCCGAGAAATCACAGCAATATATTCTGTGGAGAAATGATTCGCGAAATATTTCCAGAAATATTTCATGAAACATTCGGGCATAGTGTAGAGAGCGTTTAAAGTTTAAAAATAATCAAAAGCTCCAAGTAGACTTATATTAATTATTAATAACAAATACGTTTCTAATGTTCGTAATACTATATGACATAGAAAACCAAAGGAATAGTTAAAGTTGATGAGAACAAAAAATTGCAGGTTCCACCGAGAAGTCCAGAGTGCTAACCATTACACCATGGAACCTCTATATTAAGATTTTTTGTCATCTTAATTTGTTTATTAACACTGGTTATAACATTGTAGTTATAAATGTGCAGAAAAATATTTACATAATTTTAATCTTTAAATTGATAATGCATATAAGTCTTCTAATTATTTTATTTCTTTATCCATCTAACAAAAATAAAAGTAAGTGTTGTCCCTCGTTAAGCAGATTACTTAAAAATTATTGGACCTAGGTACAGTTGAACAAATATAGGAAGAGACTTGAGGCTAGCACCGATCGCCGTGTTATTTTATATTTCTCACGTCTCTAGCTATACTTGTTAAGTTGTATATGGTTATTTATATTAATAAATAATACTTTCTTGCCTTTAGCTGTGTATTTTTTCTAATTTCGAAAAATGGTTGGTTCCCTCCCTTTACGACAAGTAAAACAATTTTCTTTTTACTTTTTTTTCTCTACTTTCGATTTTTCGTAGTTCCCCCCTTTACGACAAGCAAAACAATTTTCTTTTTACTTTTTTTTCTCTACTTTCGAAATTAGAAAAAAATACTCAGCTAAAGGCAAGGAAGTATGATTTATTAAGATACACTAAAGCTGTAAGAATTTTGTTCATTTCGTAGTTATTTATATAGGTATGTAAATAGTCACAATAGTGTAAACAAGGTTTTAAGGTAAAAAAGTTGTATACAAAATATATGTAAAGTCAGAATATTGGAGAAAATATAAGTTTTAAACTATGGAGCGTTTTTGTATATGATTTTGTATATGGAGAGTTTTAATATATGAATTCTTAGAATAGATTACCTTATTTTGAACGGTCGGCGAAAAAAATAGAAAATAGTGTAGATCTAAGAAGACTTTCATAAATGACTGGAAAATTAAATCAGGCAAAACTAACAAAGAAAAATTAATAATTTTATTTTTATAAGTTAAAAAAGTTGCAGTACCTTAATGATGGTCCAAATCTTATACTGATCAGGGCCAAAAGTGATTCCAAGGATCCAACGTGCAATCCTGATATTTCTGGTCTCAGAGATACATTCTTCCATAATTTGGTGTCATAGGCGATGAGCCTCCAACGTTTGCATACTCTTGCCATTCGACATATTTCTTTATGGGAAAGGTAGCTGAAGATATGGAGAAGCACTTTGTCTGGAAGCTTTTCGATAGTCTGAAAAAAATAAAACCATTATAAAGTAAAATATTATAGAGGAAGAAAATTGTTTCATATTAACAAGACCTATTTTACTTTTATATTTTAGGGATTAAAATAATTACAATCATACATACATTACATATTATCGCTTTTGATGATATTATATATTTTGAATTTTCTAGGGGACAAATTTTTTAAACATAAATTTAGATTCAACGAAATTTTCTAGTTTATTCGCTTGTGGATTTTACACATCGACTGTGTTGATAAAAGATATTAGTGCTAATACCCAAAACAACAACTACAAAGAGAACATACAACAAATAATAGAACAAGAAAACAAGAACACTTTAATACGAATACTCCTAAAATTAACAAATGACATATTAAATTTAGAAATTTACACACCGTACCTAAGATAATTCATAATAAGCCCTATATACAAAAAAAAAGCAGAAAGAACGAAACACGGAATTATAAAAACGCTCTACACTATTCGGAGAATAGAACGAAACCGGTCAAGGTCTCGTTTCGTCGCCTAACTTTGTCGCATTTCGGCTTATCTCCGGTTATCTTTACCTATTTCGGCTTGTCTCGACCTACTCTCGTTTCTTAAAAAAGCCTCAAAACCATTCGTAAAATTGCGGAGAAGGGGGTGGGGAGATTTTTTTTGGCGTTTCCTTTTGTCTCGTTCAATTTCTTTTCCTTTCGAACTGTTCCCAAATCGTGGCGGTATCTATAACCGAGGCAAAGGACTTTTTTTATAAATCTCAGTGAAATAAGTAGTAAACCTAGGCGTTTCTAAAATATCTGTTGTTACGATGATATTAACGAACAAATTAACGAGAAAATTAACAAACTAAATACAGCCAGCAATAAACTGGGTCTCAAAATAAACTTCGCAAAAACTAAAGTAATGTACAACGAACTAGTGGACAGAAAAGACATTCTCATAAATAACACAGCATTGGAAATAGTAGAATTAATATATACAGGGTGGCGCACCTCATTCGCCTCGGTTGATTATACGAAAACGGAAAGATGTAGAAACAAAATATTTTATGGGTATATGTAGAGAGGCAATGTGCATAATATAAAATTATTTTCAAATGTACAGGGTGTGTCAGAACTATGATCCATACCAAAGTTATATTTTTTCTTATTTCTTTTTTGGATTCTTGGGCATAAAATAAGGCATTTATTATAAAGGTTTAATATGTTTAAATGATTTAGGTTTTGAGATATTTAAAGATATTTAAATATGCATGCTATAATAAAAAAAGTTTGTCAACACCCTGTACATTACTTTTCAGATTTAATTCTTGTGCTGACTTTGAAGCTAGAGAATTAAACTTTACAAAAAAAATTGATTTCTTCTTTAAATGTATACAGGGGTATCAAAAATTGCTGGTCTATTTTAAATATTTATTTTGCATAAAAACTTCCTTATTTCAAATGCAACACTAGGCATATTTTTAAATAAGTCGAAGCAGATTTAAATGCTCTTTCAAACTATATTACGGTTTCCTATCTGGCTCAGATTTTGAATAAAAAGCGATTTTTCAATAAAATGGCAATCAAGATGGCCGGTGTCGCCATGGCAATTTGCTAGTGACAGTTAGTACCTATTTTCATAATCGACATTAGTTTATGACCTTTATTTAAATTTATAACAGTTTTCTTTTATTTAATTTACCTACTAATAAGTAAGTATTTATTATTTTATCAAGAAACACAAACAAGTAAAATGACTTGTAGATATATTGGATTATCTATAAAAGAATCAATTAAGGCAAATTCATTTTCTTCACTTAGAAAGACAGGTTTCTGCCTAATAGGTTTTTCATATATCACACTATCAGCTCTGCGGAATAGGAAAAGTAGTTTTTCAAAGGAACGCTTGTCAAGAAAATTTCTATTATCTAACTATATCCCAATCTATCTATCTTTGAGCATAAACCCTTGAGACATATCTATTCCTTCCCCCAGCAGATACTGCTTAATTTTTCTTGATAAAATAATAAATACTTACTTATTAACATTATTGTAGGTAAATATTGTTATAAATTTAAATAAAGTCCATAAACTAATGTCGATTTTGAAAATAGCTACTAAGTGTCACTAGAAAATTGCCATGGCGACACCAGCCATCTTGATTACAATTTTATTGAAAAATCGCTTTTTATTCAAAATCTGAGCCAGATAGGTATAGGAAACAACATAGTTTGATAACATAGTTTGAAAGAGCATTTAAATTTGCTTCGACTTATTTAAAAAAATACATAGTGTTGCATTTGAAATAAGGAAGTTTTTAGGTAAAATAAATATTTAAAATAGACCAGCACTTTTTGATACCCCTGTATACATTTAAGGAAGCAATCTTCTCTGGCTTGAGGGTCAGTACAAAAATTAATTCTGAAAAGTAATGTACAAGGTGTTAACAAACTTTTTTATTATAGCATGCATATTTAAATATCTTTAAATATCTCAAAAGCCAAAGCTTTTAAACATATTAAACCCTTATAATAAATACATTATTTTATGTCCAAGAATACAAAAATGAAATATAATACCGGGTGTTTCATAAGAAAAAATATAACTTTGGTATAGATTTTAGTTCTGATACACCCTGTACATATCAAAATAATTTTAAATTATGCGCATTGCCGTCCCACATATACTCATAAAATATTTTGTTTCTACATCTTTCCGTTTTCGTATAATCAACAGAGGCAAATGAGGTGCGCCACCCTGTATATATATTTGGGAAAACCTTAGGGGACAACCAATACACAGCTCGGGATCTCTGCTACCAAAAATCAACAGAAGAATTAGGTTGGCAAGAAGTACTTGGGAGAATGGAAGAAACTCAATCATATTCAAATCAAGAATGCCAGTATATTTAAAGAAGAAAACATTCGATCAATGTACCAGTGTACCAGTGATGAACTATGCATGCAAAACCTGGACACTTAAAAAGGACATCATAAGGAAACTGCAGGTCGCACAATGGAATAAATATATGCTGGGAATAACCATGAGAGACCATAAAAGAATAGAGTGGATACGACAAAAGACCCATTAATTATAATACTAATTAATCATTACTTATCAATACAGGCAAAGTATTACATCACTTTATTACTGAAAAAAATGAAAAACTAGAGTGATTAATAACAAATTTAAATAATACCTGCAATTTGGCTTTTATGACCAAGTAGGTATAACAATCATTTATGAAAATTGATTTGTTGTCAAGTGGTTCGCTTCCCAACTAAACATTTTATCTAAAAAGATAATGAAAAAATAATTAAAAGACCTCGGCAGCGTTGACGTAAAGATTAATATGTAAATATTTTTCTGCACTTTTATAAAGAATTTTTATTACAAAATTAATTGCAACAGATAATATTTTTATTAATACAGAGGTTCCATGGTGTAATGGTTAGCACTCTGGACTTCAGGAATCCAGCGATCCGAGTTCAAATCTCGGTGGAACCTATCCTTCTTTTGTTCCCATATTCGATAGAGTAATATGTTTGTTTTATAACTTGCAACTTTTAATTATTTTGTTAACTTATTATTATGAATTTGTCTCAAACTAGAGAAATGATTAGTTAATGATTGTAACTGCTAAAGTGACTTTTCCTTGATGACTGTAACTCTTTCTTATGGATTCATAATATGTATGTAGATTGTAGAATGTATGATAGGGGAGTTAATCCACCGCGACCTTACAGATCTATTTTGTCCCCTTTCTTGAGTTGTGTTATAACGAGTTCATACAGTCTCAGGGCTTTGACAAAAGCAAATATCTGAAAGTGTTTTATTGAGGTCATTTCTCCATCTCCGATATCAATCAGAATGGTTGTCGTCTCGGTACACTCAGTGATGAGGAGTTCTGGTGTTTCCCCATTTTCCTCGCAGAATCTGCATTCGCCTTTTTTGCCGGCTCAATCTACATAGGTGTTCATTATTGAGGTCCTATTAAAAACCCCGTAACAATCCGAAGATTGTTCTTACTTAAATCAAGGAAAATCTGTGATTTTTCTTGACCGTAAGTTCTGAGAAATTTCTTCGAGTATCCTAGACCGTTGAAAGGATTCCCATTCCAGGTTACGGATGAAGTCTTTCAACTTCTTGAGTTCCGCTTTAAGTTGGTTTCCATATGGGCAGTTGGTTCTCGCCCAGTTAGTAGACTGTTCGCTCCTTTTCTAACTAGATAGATTGCCTTCTATCCTGGTGGACTGGCACTTCATAATATGTATACCTTGCCGACAACAGAGTCTTGTATCTTTATTTATATATCTAGGAGTGAATCGCTATGGCGATCCTATAAGTCGGAAAAAGAACAATGCGAAGTATTTATTACACAACAACTTGCTCCGGCGCCACAGTGGCTCTTGCATATGTTAAAGAGCGGTCATAAGTGATTTTGGAAAAATTAAACTATATGACACACTGTTAAACTTTTTGAATAGTAGTAGCATTGGTTTAAAAAAAAAACAACAACAAATTTTTTGAATAAAATTTGTAACCATGTTTTTTTTTTCTCTGAAACCCATCACATTTAATTGTCTTTTTCGCTTAGTAATAGCAAATAAGAATCTAAATATTCCTGGAGGCTTTAAAAAACCCGAGATGATTATTATTTTTTATGCTTTAAAGAAAAGGTTTTTTCTACTTTTGGAGTATTACTAAGAAAGTTCTGAAATTATTATCATGTATTAATTTTTCATGTTTTTTTAAACGTCGTTTTTATCCATATTTTTATAGTTTTCAAAATACCAAAAAAATACCTTCGACGCTTATCGACGTTTCCTCTTATCGCAAATAATATCACAGATTAGGTATCCTATAAGTATACAGATAAAAATCTTGTCCCTAATTCGTGGTACGAAAATTGTTTTTTATGACGATATGCAAACGAGTCAAATTTCCTGTGCGCAAAAATAAACTCGCATAAAATAACAATAACCAGCGTAATAGAGAGATATCGCTAAACCGAATAGCAT